AATTCTTACTCGAGAATTAATGAAATGATCTACTACAGAGATAATGAAAGAAATGAGTCATGATGAAATGACCGTTGTCGCTTATCCTCGAATTTTCGACGAACGGAGCTGATCTTCACAATTTTTTTTTTTTTCTCTTTTTAATGATCCCACTTGCAACTTGTCTGAAAGTATACGTATTTAAGTCACTGTCTTGCGATCATTTAACTGGGGACACGATTCAGGCAACCTAATTAAATCGTAACAAAGCAACAATCCCGAGGAGGCGAAACTTCCGCAGGATTTGCCGACGTTATTTCGTTTCGAGGAAATTATTATTTCGAGCGACGAATAAATTATTATAATAACCGATACGGCTCTGTCCATTTAAGCAAAACTCGTTCGAGGAGCCAGGCGTTACGCAGGTCTGGCTGACCGAGTTTACAGAAATACTACTAAGCTGCTCGACAAAAGAAATGTACAAAGGCAAGAATCTGTAACTTAGTTAGTCGGAGATCTCCAGTGCAGAACTTTCCCCATGATTATTCATGGCCGAATATCGTTATCCGGCCGAAGAAACAGGCAGGATGTTTTTTTAATGGCTTTATACTATAATCCCCAGCGAATTTCAGCAAAATGTTGGATCTCTGTACTCGTCTATTTTCACCCGGAGTTCGCAATCCAATCTCCAACGGTGGCAAAAGCTCAACTTACCTTGCGTCTCGTCGGGAATTCATCTTTTCCACGCGATACTCTAATCAATCGTGAAGATTATTAAGATCTCTACGATCTGAGAACCTCGTTATAAACGTATGGATCTTTAATACGAAAGGCCTTTCAAAAGACCTGGGCATAATTCAAATATCTTTTTGATGTAAATTGAATCTTTACTACAAAGATCTTTCAATCCGAGATCTTGAGTCTTTAAAATCCTGAATAGAAATTGAATAGAACCAGCTTCTAATTAGAATTCGCAAAAATCAAATTTTAATAAACCGTCTGCGTTTCTGCGTTGATATATGAAACTAAAGAAAGAGAAACTTGGGGGGAAAAAAAAACTCTTCTCGCGGGAAAGAAAACGACGAGATGAAAGAGAATTCGAGAAGCCATATTTTTCTCTTTTGTTTTTTTCAATTACAAACGTTATTGCTGTGAACGTTGTTGCTCGAACGAAAAGTCTCGTCTTACAAGTCTAAACGATGATGATCTCAGGGTAATTAAATGCAAACTATGCTTCTGTCATGAATTTATTTCCGCTGCATTGATATACAAGCACACAAGTGTCTCGGTGCGTTATAAAGACCATTGCTCGATGCTTATACATAATTATATTCATATAAAGATATATCATATATAGCACGTTTGTTTCGTAAGTCTCTCCCGGTGAACGTGAACGACACGAAACGATGTGTATATATGCGTGTCTCTGTGTGTGTCTGTATATATAAAACGACAAAGAATATATATATATATATATATATATATATATATATATATATATAT